TCTTATAGCTACTGTAACAGCCGTCTTTTTCATATGTTATCTGCCATATCACATAGAGCGATTGATAGTACAGTATACGAAACAGCAATGTAACAGCTCGATGTTCTGCTTATTGCTCTATCCAGTTACAGGTAAGATTTTTGCAGCTTCATAATTTTTCGGAGTGAAGAAGATTAGTTCTGGACGAAAGCAGATGCTCTAGAGGCACAGTCTGTGTCAATAGCGTTGTCTCTTTTGCATCCGGGCCATCGCTACGCTACGATCGCGCGCGTATAGCTTCTGCACTAGTGTTTGCCTCATCGACTAGATGCGTAATTCCTAAGCTATAAATTTCGTATTTGGCACAGACTGTAAACGGACACGTGCGCGGTTGCTAGACAAATGCGCTCCAGAGGCAACAAGTGCGTAGACGCCGCGTTCGCGCCCACTTCGCAACAATGGACCATTCGCTTTGGTCCAGGGCTAGCCGTCAGCCATTTCAGCTCTGAATTTAGCTGTTTTGTTACAATTTTTTGCATTTAAGGTCTTCTGCAATATATCTCGGCCACCCTCAACCCGATATTTTATAATCTTATGTCGACACGATTTCGAGCGGCTTTCACACACCTCCTGCATCAAATGCTTCCGAAACCTGATGAAGAATATGGATCGCTAGCAAGAATATGACTTCTTTGTAATATGACAAATTCTACTTGACTTTCTTTGAAAACGCCTTACTTAGTCTGCTTACGTGTACGTTTGATAACTGAACATTCCTTGCACAGATCAATCCTATTAATGGGAATATATGTACAGTGAGGTTATAATTTATAACAGTAATAAAGTGTTCACCTTAATAGCATCATGTGTGACAAAAATTTGGCTCGGACAAACCGAAAAAAGTTCTTTTTCGAAAGCCGACTGCGATTGAATGTGGCTGCGTTTAGACAGTGAGTATAACTTCGAAGTGACTTTACAAATCTCTAATTTGTCTACTTCTTTTTGGTTTTAAATATGTTAGAAAATAACAGTACAATTTTGAGTCGCTTTATCGGAGAGGAAAGAGATCAAGAAATATACAGTACAAAACCCATGGCGAAATAAATCGTCAACTATTCAAATATCACGGGAAAAGAGAAAGTGAAATATGTGCTCTTCTTTGAAATTGCTATACAGAAAGAAGAACAGCAGAACATGCCAGAGTACAAAAAAAAA